TCGCATGTGCGGCGCCGACAACAAGAGAAAAAGGCACCAAAACAGTTACAGCTTGCCTATGTCCTAAACCAATTCAAAAATTGAAATCACCATATTCGCGCGCGAAAGTCGACGCAGGAAAAGAAAGTCCTATGCGTATCCATATTCTCACAAAATTCCTAGAGTTTTCTCCGACGTGACCGAGAACATTCATGCACAAAAGGACGTGTCGGGTTCCGCTTATTCCGGAATTCCTAACTGTCGAGCCCGATTCCTAGTGCGCTCGCTAGGGCGCACGCAATTTCCCATACATTTCCCGAATTACAAAAAGCAGAATTCCAAGAATCAATAGAACCTCCGAAAAATGGGGGCCCAAACAAGGCACCTGAAATCAAGGAAAGCGACGGGGGCTTTGTTGGGCCAGTATGATACAAAAGAAAGAATTGAGTCAAGGGGTACAAAAGATAGCACAGGGTGGGGAAGTGGTTCGTCATATATGTGACGCGCAGGGGGTTCCAAAACTTATGCGATCTCCTGATTGCATGAAACCTCGAACGAAGGAAGTAAGAGGAGACGAAGAAGCCGGAAGAGGAGAAACTTAGATCAGCACAATCTATGTCAACAGAGAAAACTGAGCCGGGGTATGAGTTGGCGACAACGTCCGTGGCAAGATCTTCATGATGCATGCCGGCTCGTGCTGTTTCGGATCCCATCCTCTGTAGTCCTGTCATATGCAACCCCCTGCCCTTCAATCTTCGGAGACTATCCAGGTGGCACCATCATGGTCCATTAGGTCTCTGTGTGCTCTGCACTCCCAGTCCATCGCAATCCGTCGAATCAGAGCATGTGTTGACGTCATCATCAATAGTGTGATCTTCGTGAAACTACCGATTCGTGCTGCTCAGGGGACACATGTCGATTTCCCCAATCGATCGCTACGGAGAGCCTTCCATATGCCACTTACAGTGAGAAAGAGTGTGGACGTCATCCAATGTGGCAAGCCTAATTACCTAATCCCCAGAACGGTCATTGACAAGAGGAGGGTGGGATGCGCCGCCGTCGTGACACGTGGCGGGTATCAGTGCCGCGTAGGAATGGGAAAGTAGACATTGTACATGGAGCGGTGCCGACGGGGAGGGTTGGGGGGTAGTGGGGGTAAGTAGTGGTTTATCCCTTCCACTGTCACCGGAAGCTCCTCATAGCGGATCATCCGGTGAAAGCGGGGAAACTGGTCGCCGCTATGAGGGAGGGAGGCGAGGTAGTCAGGGTAGAGGGTGGAGAAAGTCCGGAAGAGCGCCGCGCGAAATAGCTCGTGATTGCGGCATGCGGGGATGGTTCCTGTGATTATGTAGTAGACTTCTACTGCGTTGCTCTGCTCCCACGCGCCACTAAACAAAAGGACATGCAAACAGAAGACGGGGGTTGCGCATTGAAGGGAAGGATGGGGATGGACGGTGACGGCGAGGCGGGTGGAGTAGAAGTGATGGAAGGTATTGGGAGGGAAGGGGTTACGAGTGAAGGTGACGGGGGTAGAGATCTGACGGAGGGGAGGTAATCAAGGGGATGGCGGGATAATGACCGGGGACGACGGTCGATCCCCCACATTGGTACGTGGACGAACTGGGGGACGGGTTGAGGTGGAGGGGGAGGAGGATCGGCTCCGTCTCCGTCGCGATGCGCTCGGAGTCGTGGCCGAAGGGTCGCCATCTTCGGGCTTGGGGGGCTCCGGATCCCGGGTCGGGTCATCGTTGATGCGCAGGTTCGCCCCGCTGGCAAACTCCAACTGCCTTTTCCCGGCGGCGATCTCTTCCCTCTTACGTGCCGCCTCGGGATCTTCCGCCTTTGTGCCTGTGCGCGCCTCTTCTTCCGGCAAGGCTTCCCACTCCGATCCGTCTTCCTCCTCTTCGTCGTCTTCTTCCTCCTCCTCCTCTACACTCTGCTCCCCTTCGTTGTGCTCACTATAACTCCCTTCCTCCATCGTTTCTTCTTCGGAGTCGCCCTCTTCTTCGGTGGCTTCTTCTTCTCCTTCAACCGCCTCTTCGGACGTATCTTGTTTCGCATAGAAGGCAAGATTGATGATTCCGTACGGCTTCAGGTACTCCTGCTGCGACGGCGGGGCGTTTTCACTCCCTGGTTCCTCCAAGCACGCAGTCCACTGAAGATACGGTGCCAATGTCCGCGTAAGGACATGCGGAGCCGGACTCTCGTCACTTTGCGAAACGATATCGAGAGAGAGGTCGTCGACCAGTTGCGCGAGTGGGACGACGAGTTCCTGGGCAATTAGCTGGCGATGGCCCGGCCGTACTGATCTGAAGAGAAAACCGAGAAGATCGCCTTCTACATCCGAGTCAGTTCTCCAAGCCTGGATAATCAGCAACTCCAGGTACTCAATCCACCCCTGATGCTCGTCGGTCCACGTCCACGTCACCTGCACTCTGGCCAAGCACACAGACAGATCGACAAAAGTCTCACGCCACGCCCGCCAATGTCTGGGATCGAGGAGCGGGACTGCAAGGGGCTCGAGCAAGAAGGAAAGACGAGGAAGAAGATCGGATTGCCAGAAGGTGGGGAAAAGAGAGGGAAGATCGAAGGTGAAGAGAGGAGTGAGAGGAGCGGCGCGGTTCATTGCGGGCGTTGGAAGGGGATGAGTGTGGGGAGCACTACTGTCGGCTGGCGCGTAGAGGTGCGGATCCTGTCGAAGTCAGTCCCGTACGTCGGGACGAGGTTGTACCTGGGGCGTGCAAGACCGTGATGCCATTCAGCCAATAACTGTTCCGTCCACTCTCGTAATGAGGTCATGATCACGGTATGCCGAAGCGAGCTGACTGTGTTGATATCGTCGCTGAAGGCTACGACCGTGGTGACGTGGCTCGTTCCTGGAGCTGCCCGCCGAATGCCACCACCTCTGCCAATAATACTGCCTACGGACTTCCTGCGAATCGGAACGCAGCGGTGGCACACACACCCTCGGTGCAAAAAAACTGCGCCGGTCGTTGAAGATCAGGACTGAGTCGCGGATGACGAACTTGTCGGATCTCCGAGATGTAGCCACGTGGCTGCAGCAGATGATTGCTAAGGGCTTGCTCCGTGAGGAAACGCATGGCGAGGACGGGGAAGAAGATGGGAGATGGGAACAAGAGGGAGAGAACTAGGCGGGGGCTAGATCGTCGTCGTCCTCGTTTTCAGCAGATGAGGGAGACGGAGGGAGATCACAAGGAGGGAGGGGACAGATATAAGAGGTATGGCGGACGATGGGGACAGAGCTATGGCTGGCACTGGCCTCGGGCGCAATGCGCACCGTGTTGGCACCGTTGGGTCCGAGCTCGATAACGCGAAAACAGCCAGAGAACTTGGGAGCGAGTTTCCGGTCACGTGCACATTTACGTACCTGCACCAGGTTCCCTAATTTATATTGATGTTGGGGACCGGCGTTTCCATTTCGGGCCTCGTAGCTACAGACTTGCCTCCTGTGGGCTAGATCAGTCATTTTCTGTCTCTTTCAGGCTAGTTTCGGGACGACCCTTTCCATCAAATCGGCGTACCTTTTGGCCTTGGCCTTAAGGGCGGCACGCGTGTCTCTACCCCCTACTTCGGGAATTTTCTAGTTGCCCCGATAATCGACACATAGGAGGCTATTGGTGCGAAGCTGAAAGGGGGTGAACCCCGTGGATTCGTGAGGGGTGGCCCGATGAATTCTGACGATTTGGTATACGATCTCGGACCACGAACGCGTGTCATGCGCCGCTAGATTTCTACGAAGGGCAGTCTTAATCATGGGATTGGCATTTTCGGCCAACCCATTCGACTAGGAAACGTGGGGTGTTGTGTGTCGAAGTGTAATGCCTCGGCGCGCGAGCAATTCCTCTACCTCGCCTTTGAATTCGGACCCGTTGTCGGTTAGAATCTCTTCCGTATCTAGGTGGGTATAGAGGAACCGATCGATGTACGTGGCTATCTCTGCGGCCTTACGGGTTTTGCAGGGGTCGACCTTGATGTATTTGGAAAAATGATCTATGAAAACTAAAAGGATGGAATATTCGCAACGGTTTGGGCCAGGTGGCACGTCGATATCTGTCATGTCCATACTGACTCGCTGAAAAGGGCGCTCTACTTCCATCGGTACTATTGTGTTTGGTCCCCGTATTGGGGCACGATCGGCGGCACAGACCAGACAGTTGGCGACCACGTATCTGACATCGTCCTGTATCGATTCTGATCTATAGTTGCTTCAGTGACACTTATCGCGAAGTGAGCGGCCTGCTCTTCGTGAGCAGATCGGGTCCAATCATATCTCTGGAATGGATGGGGAACCGTCAACCATAAACCCGATCCGTAAGTTTTACGCTTTTCCAGATGACCGTTGATCCATCGGTAATCCCTGGATCTCTCGGTAGCCCGACGTCTGTCGTGCTTAGTGAGATGATCCAATGGTAAACCAGCCAATTTAGCTAATAGAATTTTATCCGTCCAGACCTCCGACCGCCTGTACTTTTCGTCGTATCTGAGGCCATCCGTACGAGCGGCCTCGAATCGAATCTCTGTCGGGAGCTTGTCTGTTCGACACAAAGAACATTTCCATATCTTACTGTTAATTCGGTACCAAATACAGGCGTCGTGCGTGCGATTAACGCATGTGGAACAATCCACCCAATCAACGAACCCGGTCTCAAAAGGATGACAGTCCGCCCCATAAACTCGTGTAATACACGTACAAAAATAGCAGAATTTATCAGGAAGGGTGGCGAAGAAGGCCGAGGAGGTGTGAGGGGCGGAATCAGCAGGGGAAGAAGGGGTCGCAAAGACAGGTGGGGTAGTCATGATGAGAGGGGAAGAGAGAGAGAGAGAGAGAGAGAAAGCAGGATTGCAAAGAGGGTAGAGCAAAGGCTCCGTGTCACTCACTCCTTCGACAGAGTTTTCACTTGCCCGTACCGCGGTCCGTTCTCATCCTTCGGCTCGTTCCACAGAATCACCTCCTCGCTCTTGGAGACCTTCTCGGGTCGGTGCAGTCGTGTCAACCCGTCAGCATTCTCGTGCCTCTCGTGCATCCGATGACAAATGTCAAAGTCCGTGCTCTGCAGCACAATCGCCCATCGCCCGATCATGCCTGAGTAATCTTTAGATTTCTTCAAGGCTAATAATGGCTCATGATCGGTCACCAGTGTGAACTTTCGTCCATACAGATAGGCTCGCAAGTGACTGATTCCTCACAGAGCCGCATAGCATTCTCCTGTCGGGGCGGCGTAATTGCGCTTGTAGGTAGACACCGACTTAGACGCGTATTCCACCACGTATTCGAGCCCGCTCGGTCCCACCTGGGCCAAGATCGTGGAAATCCCCTCCGGCTGCCAGTCCGTGATGAGGACAAAAGGCTTTTCGGGATCCGGCCTTATAAGGACCGGGGCCGAAATAAGAGTTGCCTTAAGTTTCGAAAACACTTGATCACACTGCGGCGTCCAAATCAATGGTTGATCCTTTTTCAGCACATTCGTAAGGGGACCCGCAATCGTCGCGAAACCCTTGATAAACCTTCGGTAGTACGAGGCCAGGCCCAAAAAGGGGCAAACTTGCATGATTATCGTGGGCACGGGCGCGTTTCTCACAGCTGCCACCTTTTGAGGTTCCGGTCTGAGTCCCTGGTCTGTCACCACGTGTCCCAGGAAAGAAATGATGGTGAGAAAAAACTGGCATTTCTCAAGCGCCACCTTGAAACCGGCATCCCTCAATGCATGCAGCGTCTATTCGATGTGCTGCACATGCCCCTCGTAAGAACTCGAGTACAACAGGATATCACCCATGTACACAATTACGCAATCGTTGATGATACTCTGCGTCAGACGTGTCTTCCACACAAAGTTCTGAAAAGCCATGTTCATGGCTCGCTGAAAGGTTGTTGGAGTATTGCAGATGCCCATTGGACATCGAATCCATTGCCAAGTACCTTCGAACAACACAAACGCCGTTTTCGGACGATCCTACTCTCGAACAAGAAGATGATGAAACCCATGACGAATACCAAACTTATTGAAAAATCGAGCACTTTCAATCGCATCCAACAACTCATCAATCCGGAGAAAGGGTTACACATCTTTGATCGTGATATCGTTCAGCTTCCGATAATCGATACATATGCGAATCCCTCCAGCCTTTTTGGGCACGATTACCACAGGAAACGACCAAGGTCCTATGGCGGGTTCGATCCATCCCTTAGCTTCGAATTCCTTAATTCGTTGAAACGCGGCCACCCGTTGGGCTGGCGAGTATCGATAAGGAACGCAGCTAATGGGTGGATGATCCCCCGTAAGGATGGAATGTTCAATCATGTTAGACAGCCCGATACCGTTACCGTGCACACTTAATACCTCTACGTACCCATCCAAGACGTTAATCAATGATTTCCAAAATTCCAGGGGGACGTGATTCGGCAGAGTGACTGTCGGTCGATCGGGTATCTCAAGGGGCATGTCAATCCAATCAGCAGGCCGATTCCGTCGGTCATGGACACTAGAGAAAATAGAGCTATTAGTGCGGACAGAAAATACAGTCGCAATCATCTGGGATTCAGCAGGGCTAATCATCTCGGTCTCTTTAATTTCGGCGTCAGTTTCTGAATCAGTCGTAGTTTCTTCCACGGTTAGTCTTGTTAAATCCACCATTTTCTGCATTAGATCGGGCACATCGTCGACGGGAGCTTCGGCCTCTCGTTTTATCAGAGCGACGGTCGCTCCTGTTGTAAGCAGCGACCTTGGAGGGAAAACAGAAACATCCAGGTATTGTTTCACCTGTTGATAGCGTGCTCGGAGGGAAAGTGTTCCCTCGTACAAAGTGCGAGGGGTTCCAAATCGTCTGCTATGTCAGATATTTGCAAGATGGGTTCCCCGAGAAAGGTCGAGGAACTGACATGGGCTTCCGTAGACGCGAGTGTGTTATCTCCCAGACTCAAGTGAAAAGTTCGTGTGGTTCAGGGAATCATCCGAAATTCCTCTTGAGTTTCGTGCTCGAAAAACTCGACTAAGTGTTTCCACTCATTCTCACTAGGCATCTCTTCTTCGCACTCCTGCTCTTCGAATCCGCTACTATTATCCGGAGATGGAAACTCCTTGTGATCGGGACCTTGAATCATTCCTACCCGAGCAGAATCAGGATTCCTTTTTACTGTTCGGGTGGAAATCCGCAACGGAACTGTCTGAGGCTTTCCCCCTGTTTGCGTAAGCACGAACTGTTTGGAATCGAAATGCATGCGGGCACCTACCGCCATTGCCCAAGGGAGTCCCAACAACACCGAATATGAGTGCACGTCTATGACCAAGGCGTTAACGAGGACGTGCACTCGTTCAACTTTCACGCCCACATTCTCAATGACTCCTACGATACACATTGCTTCCTCGTCAGCAGAGACGTAGTTGTCTTTGCCAGATTGAGGGAGAATCGAGTTGAGTCATCCCGTTCTTCTTACCGTATCTAATGATATAGCGACCGCAGAGGACCCAGTATCGATGAGGGCGTTAAAAGGTTTGCCCCATACTTCACAATCACATTCAGCCTAGGTTACCAATGGTCCGGAGACCGGACGTCTCCACCGGACGTCTCCCCCCCCCGTCGTCCGGATTTCCAGACGACGCCTTTTTGGCATAAGAAAAAAATAAATAAATAAAAATGACAGTGTTGCGCATGGCCTAGAGACCCCCCACAAAAAAATTCAGATTTTTCTGAGCATTTGCTGATAGGGTGGTATTTGGGGGGGGAGGGGGGGCAGAAGGGGTTTTGGTTGGGATAGGAGGGGTATAAATGAGAAATGAATCTTTAAAGATTTTTATTATTTATTTTACAGGCCCAAATGATCCAAAAATTTGGTGGCATACACCGAATGCAAGGTGGAAGCCACATGATTTTTTATTTTTTTATTTTTTAAAAAAAACAATTTTTGCGCTAGGTCGGATATACCCTGTCCGGTCCGACGTCCGACCAGACGTCCGGTCGAACATCTTGGACGGTCAGGGGGGTCCCGGACGTCCGGCCCGGTAACCTAGCATTCAACACTTTTCCACAACACTGGTCGAGCTCGCACGAAATGATCTTTCTCAACTAAAGAAATCGTAGCTACTCGCACGGCTTCGGGTTCATCAACTTCGGGCTCAGGCGGTGCAACACCCTCTGCTTCTTCCTCCTTCTTTTTCAACATTCTTTGTATGCGCTGGTATGTAAAGCGCTTTTGATTCTTCTGACATTGTTGCAACAACTTGTCATTTGCAGCTTCGGATATGGTGAGCAAATGTCCCACTGGGACCGGAACGCGACTGTCCAGTTGCTTAAGCGTTCGTAGCACATCAATTTCTCCTGTCCGAAACTGTGGTCCGGGGTTAGATTCGTGCTCGACCCATTCAAGATTGTCATGAGCCGGTCGGATTGTTCCGACCATGCTTGCGAGATGAAGGTATTCGGTCGGATCAACCACGTCAGCAGCTTCGGAAGAAGAAGCCCCCGAGGTCGATGCAACTGCAATTGAGGGGGAAGATCGCTTAGGGGCGGAAGCGATGATCTCCCCATCTCGGGCCGTATCCATTAGCGCAGCTACTCGTCCTTGATTCAAAGCTACGGGGGTTGCGGCAGGTGGGGGCTGATTTCGTTTTGGCTGCGGACAGTCCCGGGCGAAATGCTCGGGCTGTTTGCAGTTGTAACACTCAATCCTCCCTGCCAAGTTAGCTGCATGAGGGAACTGTGGTGCATGTCCAGGTGCAGGCGAGCGGGCAAAAGCGGGAACGATGGAGGGGCAGGTCGAGCAGGAGCCGGGTTGGGCTTAATCAGCCTGCTCATAATCTGTTCTATTCGATCCATGTGAGCCGCCTGCATTTGGACGAGATTGCTCATCCATTGAGATTGCTTAGTAGTAGTTGTATGGATCATCTATGCTAAGTGCATATTTGTTATGGACACAGAGGCAGGATCTTGGGAGCTTCAAGGTTTAACAATTGCCACCTGTTGGTTCATTGAGAGAGGCGGAGGAGGGGGAGAAGGAGCTGGCGGGATATTAGAGGCGAACCCTTCAGGAAGGTCATGATTAGGCCGGGGATAGAATCGTCCTACCGCTCGTAACCACGATCGTCGTTTCACCGCTATATCCTGAATCGTGTTTGTAATGTCTTCGTCTCCCTGTCAATGATTGATATACTTCTTTGTATCCGTCAGGTCTAACTCAAGTGCTTTGGTGATGATAGCGGATAACTGGTTCGTTTTAGGGGGAACCTTTTTCTGCAGCTTAGCTTTTAGCGTCGGATTTCGTAGATGATCGATGAACAAGTCTCGGGCATAATTTTTATCTCGCCTTGATTTGTCCAACGTAGTTTGGAATCGATCCATGAAGTCAGGCAACAATTCCCCTGGTTCTTGCGGTCGAGTTTTGAATACATACCAAGCAGCATCTTCGCTGACCGTATCAAATCTGGCCAAGAATGCTCGCTTGAAGGTATTCCAATCTACCCATCTGTGTTTCCTAAACCAGTCATGCGCTGTGTTGCAAAGCAGCAGGGTGATGACGCGGGGGAGATCTTCCGCGCTATAACCTTGAGCTTGGACGACTTCCAACCAAGCTTCAGGGTGGGTGTGATTGGGAAAGAAAGGAAAAGCGGCGGGAATACTAACAATCACCCTGGGGGGAGCTGCGTTGTCGTCGGCCATTGGCATAGCTGGTCTAGCCTCGACAGATCTTGATCTAGTCACCGGGTGATCTCGGCGAGCAGGATGAGGACTTCTTCTACCTCTCGCCAGTTCGACTTACTATCACCAGAACCGACACGAGTCCGCTCCTATACCAACCTCACGCCCTGTGCTGTCTTCCGTTCGGAGTGCTAAGGGTGCGGAAAGAAGGCCCACGAAAACAGCAAGATGAGGTGTACTAAGGATTTTTGGAAAATTGAGTGTGAGGACACAGACAGAACTGAAATCCCCCGTGTTGGCCTGATGAAGTAAGTCGGTTGCTTTCACGCGTCACAGAATACGCGCGCGGGCGCGGCGCGAAAAGAGAAAAATCCAAATTCAATCCAAAAAGTATTGTCGAACTTCCCACCGCGCTACAGCACTTCGTTTAGAGCGAAAGAGCTTCGGTACACTCCGCGTGTCCCGTTTTCGTGTCAAGTCCCGACGTCGCTCGTTGGTCAGTTTTGAGTCCGACGTGGAGGGTCTCAGCCACGCAGCTCTTTCCTTGTGCTCGTCTTCACTCCGTATTTGGTAGTGGAAGCCCTTTGATTCGTAGCTGTCGAAACGCTAGCACTTAGTGCACAGGGTTCGAGGCCAATGGGGCGCCACGGCCGTCGACGGAATGACGATCAGCTCGTTAAATGACAACAATACTCAGTAAGGCGGGAAGTGCGTACCGACAATGACAAAGCCCACATCCACGAATCCAGAACAACGATTTTTCGAGAGGGAAGTAATATCGTCCGCCGATCCGTGCGACAGCTTCTCGTACGTCCCACTCGCAAACACGTGTCCTTTNAATCCAGAACAACGATTTTTCGAGAGGGAAGTAATATCGTCCGCCGATCCGTGCGACAGCTTCTCGTACGTCCCACTCGCAAACACGTGTCCTTTCCTCGTYGTAAGGGAAGGGGCGCGTTGGCGCGGGAGACACGGGAGGCTGGCGCCCGATCGAGGTGCGCCCGTCAGTCCACATGTCAATCAATCGAAATGAGTTTGCAAAAAACCCGCGACGTCCTCAAAAAGCACAATCGTAAAAACCAACTAATATTTTCCTTCCTTTGGACACGAGGGAAGCACTTTACAGAGCTCGTACAACCATGCAGTAATCGGGTTGGAGTTTCAAGGGACCAACCCGCGACTCAGGTTCAACAGGTCAGATTGACGTAAATCCGGGGCGCCTTGCTCTTTCGAGGCTGCCCCGCAGACTGACTGCAGATGTCGTGCAGTATAAGGCAGATGGCGTGCGCARTGATTCAAAACGACATATCTAAACACTCTTGCATTCTCGAACAAGATCCCGTCGAGCTCTGGGTCTAACCAAAACAAAATTCACATACAAACATTTTCCTTTCTATGCATACATCCACTGTGGAAGGTGCGAAAATGACAATGGTGCATCAACTCCCTCCGCGAATCCGAAACAAATCGGGGGATAGTACACACGCATCCACCGTTCACAAGACAAGATGATGGAGTTCCTTTGCATCTGGAGATTACCCAGGAAACTAATGGAAGAGTTCCGAAAGAAGTTCTTTTGCGCAGGAAATAACAAGGATTCACTTCTGTTCACAGGGGAGACAGACTCATAACACATCGTCATTCAAATCAGAGAGAGAGAGGGGAGGGGTGAACGAGAAATGTCGAGACAGGAGACACCGAGATCCGAAAAGAGAGCGTTCAACTTTGCAGTCGGAACTCACACCAAAGAACAATGATCCGCAACAGTGAAGGCGCATTCGCCATGAAATTCTTAACATGGCCCCGGGCCAATCATCCACTCAACTCCAATTGTTGATCCTCATACCCGCACCGACGATCTCGGTCGTCGTGTGCTAACTTTCGTCGCTGCGGTCGTCACCCCGCTGACGCAAGCTCGGCACGGCTCGTCCGGATCCCACAGTCCGTCGTGGTGATCAAGCGCGCAACCGGCCAGCCTACAGTCAGCCCGTCAGGACTTTTCGACTCGCACCAAACRCATCACCTAGCCACTGCTTCCCRGAAGCTGGMTTGAGAGTTGAAAACGTAAGAGAGATTTGYGGGCGCRCTTGCGRAATTTATAGTTGCGAGAAGGAAGACGGAGGGAARAGAAGGCGGAGGGGAAATCGAGGTGTAGGAGGAGAAGATTCAACRGGGGMYGCTCAAGGGAAGCCATGTTGATCCTTCGGAACCCAATGTTCAGCCAATCAGATTCGTTGCGCAACAGGTGGATCCTCTTGCTCAACGTGTCTGATTGGTGAGCGGGGGGAATCGAAAGATCAACCGGGGTTCGTGAGCCTAGGTAGGAGAGCTAGAAGGAAAGAGGCGCGAGAAGTAGCGCRAGACGGGTCCAAGATTCAGATGATCAAGAAAGGAAARCAGGYGCGCAAAGAGCACAGAGAGGGAAAACAGTTGCGATAGGAGAAGAAGAGGARGGGGAAGGGAGAGAGAAGAGAGTGTGGGGGAAGAATGACGAGGGAAATAAGGAGGAGGAAGCTCGCATGTGCGGCGCCGACAACAAGAGAAAAAGGCACCAAAACAGTTACAGCTTGCCTATGTCCTAAACCAATTCAAAAATTGAAATCACCATATCCGCGCGCGAAAGTCGACACGGGAAAAGAAAGTCCTTTGCCTATCCGTATTCTCACAAAATTCCTAGAGTTTTCTCCGACGTGACGGAGAACATTCATGCACAAAAGGACGCGTCGGGTTCCGCTTATTCCGGAATTCCTAACTGTCGAGCCCGATTCCTAGTGCGCTCGCTAGCGCACACACAATTTCCCATGCATTTCCCGAATTACAAAAAGCAGAATTCCAGGAATCAATAGAACCTCCGAAAAAGGGGGGCCAAACAAGGCACCTGAAATCAAGGAAAGCGACAGGGGCCTTTGTTGGGCCAGTATGATACAAAAGAAAGAATTGAGTCAAGGGGTACAAAAGATAGCACGGGGTCGGGAAGTGGTTCGTCACACAGAAGCTGATTCACATCCCAGGGTTCGATCCCTAGACCTTACCTGCACCCGTGTACAGTATCGAGTAGACGCCTGTGTGTTTTGAGCCCGCGACCTGTGTTTTAGCAGTGACTGTTCTTTGTCGTAGGTCCCTGTAGTTGTTGGGATTCGATCTGTAGATCTGTCAAGTAGCAGTTGTGTAGAGGTCGAAACTGCTAGGCTAGAGGTCTATAGGCAAGTCGTGAGTCCAACTGTGTCGAGTTGGCAATGTAACCCCGTTAGTCAGCGGTACCGGTCCCAGTCAGTCACAGTCCAGTCAAGCAAGTACCATGTGGGACTGTCTGCACTAAGGGCCTGGAGAAAAGGGGCAGACCAGCTACCAACAGAAGACTTAGTATAAATCAAGAGGCAGCGTACAGCAAGTCATTGATTCGCTGCGTAAGCCATGCGGAAGCGCTGCTACAGCGTCTTGAGCGTCTTGTGCGAGGTGGTCTGCATGTTGCCCGAAGTCGAAGTGGGCTGAAGTGAGAGTACGTAGCCATAGACAGTGTTAGTAGAGCCGCCATAGCCGCTGTAGGAGGAAGTTAGGCGTTAGTGTGTGTGTGTGTAAGAGAGGGAAGCGTGTGGAGTATTCAGGGTGATCCAGAGTGAGTGTGTGTGAACGGTGGTGTTGGAAACAGTGTCGAAGTTGGGATGTACAGGCGCTGATGCGCCATAGCCTGTTGAAGCAAGTTTGCGTCTGAACTGGGTTCTCGGTTTCCATCTCTCTGCGTTTTAAGTGGGCGCTGTGCGCCAGTGTGAGTCGCCATCTGTTTGCATGTATGTGAAGCGAAGAAGAAAGAGAGTCTGATTACACCAACCCCTTGGAGTACTTCATTTTTTTTTCTCGCCTGAAGTGCTTCCAATCAAAATGAGTCTTTCTGTTTTCTCACCCCGCCTCCCATTGTTCGCAATTGAAAAGAACAAAAATAAAAACAAAAACTGAGACGAATCGTCCAGGCCGACTGGAGAAGGAAAGCTGGGGGATCTTGGTCCAATTGGTTTGGGATTACCTGGGGAGTAGGGGGTAAGTTAGCGAGCTACGAGAATGGAAAGCTGACCCTGAACAGCTAGTTCTGGAAAGATTAGTGTAACAAGCGACCGAACCTGCACACTCGGTTCCCCCTTTCCACAGGAGGAAGGCAGATTGGTAAGAATGCGGAGGGAGTGGTGGTTGGAACTTGACCGGTCCTGAGTGGTCCGGACTGCCGCCTTAGGCAGTGTTTACTAGGGTAAGTACAACGTAGATAACTTAGTGGGTAGTAGTTGGGATTGCTTCGGGTTCTGGTAGGTTTAGCCAGCAGCTAGGCTAGTGGGTTGGAAGGGCTTCTGAGTTTTAGTATTGTGAGTTTTTTTCAGGCTTGTTGCATTGGTTTCCTTAATTTGGTTTCCTTTTTTTTGGATTGTGTGGTTTTGTGGGCTTGTAGCTTGTTTTTCAGGGTCTGATTCTTCAGGACAGTGGCCTATGAGTTGGCCCTTCTGTGCCTTGATATTTTTCAACCCTGGTCAGGTAACAAAGTGCTTTCTGTGTAGATGGAGTGCATAACTCGCAGGCTGCGCCTGTAAGCTAAGCTGGCTGATGCTGCCAGATAATCGGCCTCCGGTTTACCTTTGTAATGCAATACGATTGAAGGAAAAAAGAAAAAAAAAGAAAAAAAAAATCACGTCCTCCTAGATTTTACGTGCACCTCCCCACAGCTGGACCCGGTTTTCCAGCTCAGCCGAATCTGGGTAATAGCCCCAGTTTCCGGGTTGAGATGTGGAGGAATTCCCGGCCTCCAATGTTTTGTCACTATTGGATGCAATGCTTTTGACAATAAGAAACGGTTCAGGGGGTGTACGACTTGAGGACATACTCGCACGTGCACTTTCCAGAATGCATCAGACCGTAATTTCGGCCGCGCGTGTATGTATCTGGCCGCAATTCCATCCAGAAATGAGTAAAAAGGCCTGGCCCAGTTGGTACCAGTTTCATTTTTTCCCCCCCTTTTTATGAATCGTACAAAGTTCAACAACGTGAGGGGTCAAAAGGACTAAAAAGGAAGAAGGTGTGGGCTCACTGTAGGTAACGAAAACGCGAAAAACGAAAACCTCACAGCGACGGATGAGTCCGCAGCGCGTCTGCGCATCGCTCGTGTCCTGTGTGCAGCACATACAGCCCGCGGTACCGCGTGTGCAGGACCCGCGGCCAGCCATTGAGCGCGGTGGATCGGCGAGACACAGGTGATGACGATCGAAAGGTCAGGCAGCTGCACTGAGAAGGGCGCCGTCTGAGGCGTGTTTCGTTCGCGCGTGTCCTGCCCTGCTGTTCGGTCGTGTTCTTTTCGCGCGTGTTTTGTTCGCGCGCGCATTTTTGGCGCGTGCAGTGTACAGTGCATTGCAATGCAGTGCAGCAGCAGTTGCCTCGGCCAAGAGAACGTGTAGTAGTTCCCGCCGAGACAACGACGCACTCTGAGCGAACCATACGGCTGCGGAGAACATAACATAACACAGCAGCTATAGATGCTATCGGTAGGCGTCTATGGGATCACAAACCGGGAGGAGGAGGAGGAGGAGGAGAAGGAGAGGGGAGAGAGAAGTGGAGGGGTCGTTCGATCAATGCGCGAATTTTATCGAAGAGGAGGAAGATTCGAAGACGGCCGACTAGGAGGCGGGCCGGCGGCGGCAGAAGGGAGAAGGAAGGACGATGTGGATGTCGAGTAGGATACATCTTCTTCTTCGACTAGAGGAAACGTGATGAAGGGGGAAGAGAGGGGAAGAGGACGAAGGAGGAGAAGGGGATGAAGAGGCGGATAACAGACACAGAGATCCACGCAAAAGAAAACTCGCGTAGGAGGGGGGGGGAGAGATTGACGGCCGGGAGCGCGGCAATGTGGTGCTATTGCCGGGCTCTGCGGCACATGCATTGCATTTGGTCCCCTCGGTAGTATCGCTGGGCGGTTTTCATTGAAATAGTTGCTCGATCTCGGAGGAACAGAAGATAGGAGGATCGAGTACAAGTGACGCTTAACTCGACTAGGTTCGTGGGGAGAAGTTGAGACGAGTGAGGGAGAAGGTAGGAGGGAGGAGGGAGTGGGTTCGACTCGAGGAGGAGGAGGAAAGTAGGTAGTGCTGCAATTAGTGCGGCGCGGTGGAATCGTGCACCCATCAGCGATGGGCACACGTCAGGAGTCGGGACTTGTGCGGGGGGGCGGCAAGCAAATGGTGACAAGAAATCTGAAGACAAGACGAACGACGACGGAACGGCGGCGAGGCCGGCCACGTGTCTTCTTGGACAACCTGATGGCTGTCGGGTTGCCGCTGTTCGTGATGGTGTTCGCCTTCACCATAGCTGTGGGAGCTCGTCAGGTCCAGAGATCGACGAACTGGGCGAAGAGTGAGCATGGAGAGAGGAGATTGATGACAGGCGCAGTGAGTCCGCGGTCTTTCCGTATAGTCATGCCGTCAGAAACATCACTATTAGGAGCAGCCGCCTTCGATAATGAAGCTCTTGCAGGTCAGGAGCAGTTCTTGTCTTCTTCTTCTTCTGGGCCGTTGACCAATGACACGGAGACGAAGACTGTCCAGCAGGAGAAGCTGAAGTCGGAGGAGTGTGAGATGTCTTACAATGTGCTACCTTGCTCGACCAATGTGGTGGGCAATTTATTCTTAATGTGGGCGTTCGGGACGATCCTCCTCACTGCGGCGAGATTCATCTCTGAAGGAAGCGAGCTGCTTCTCGAGGTGAGTGATCGGATTGTGGTCATTTTTTGATGGTGGTGTGACTGTTGATGGGGATGAGAATGATGACGACGAGAATGAGGATGAGGAAGAATGAGGACGATCGTGAGATGTATTAGTCCATGATGTATCTTGAGGATGGATGGATGATGATGATGATGATGATATCAAACTGTCAAGGGGTAGAGCACCTCACCCTTTTTATCTGTCGCTCGCTTTCTCTCTCTCTCGCTCGCTTCTTTTTTATCACCCTACCTCATACAGTAAAAAAGGTCGTTCCTTTGACGTACCTATATACTGTAAGACCCAACCCAGATTTATGTCAAGTCGTTCAAGTCTCATTTGTTCAAGTTTCATTCGGTCGAGCTTCATCCGTTCGTTCACACTGGAGGTTCGCCGCAGCTTGCCAAAGCGTAATTGCAATAGCGTTCTTCTCCTCCGCTGCTACGTTTGTCCAACGATCTTCCCAATGAAATGAGATCAAACGCTCGTAGTAGGAATGACGGCATTGCATGAAAACCGACCTCCCCCTCTTACTCTCCCCTCCCTCCCTCCCTCCCTCCCCCTCTTACTCTCCCCTCCCTCCCTCCCTCCCTCCCCCTCTTACTCCTCTCTCTCTCTCTCTCTCTCTCTCTCTCTCACTCTGTGTGTGTGTGTGTGTGTGTGTGTGTGTGTGTGTGGCGCGTGGGCACATACACGAAACTGTGCGTCTGTGCACTCCGTGGCGCGTGCGCACAAACACAACTCCAGTCTGTTGTCGGTTGGGTGCTTCGTCACAAACACAACTCGAGTCTGTTGTTGGTTGGGTACTTCGTCCCCCACGGGTTGAGACTGATGTGTGAAAGTCCCGAGTTACATCTGGTTATAGGCACAGGATTATCGGCGCGGCAAAACATTTGTATTTCTTTGCCCCCGAAAACGCTGCAAACAATGTGGTCCGCTTCCGCTTCCGCT